TGCACTTATTTTGCATTAAATATTGTAAGAAGAGTGATTGTATTTTTTCCTTTGCAAATTTAATTTTTGCAAATTTGATTGTGGCATTTATAATTCAATGGGTTAAAATAAGGTTGGAATAGCGTAGATGGAGAGGAGTTTTACAAATTCTCACAGGGAATTAATTCAGTGATTTTAGAAAACCTCATGTTCAAATTCCTGTGAATATTTGAATTAATCTACACTGAATTTTAGTTCTAGATATTTGTGGGTACTGAATATAGATTAAGTTATTTTTATACTTTTTAATAGCTATCAAAGAGCATCATAGGTCCTTGTGCAAACAGAAAGCAGGAAACTACGTTTTGTACAGACAAGGTCATTGCTGACTCCTTGTTGGGAAGATGGCAGTATAGGCTTGTATTTTAAGAGCTTTTCAACTGTATTAACTGATTTAGGAGACTATTGTCAGCTAAGTTTTTGCTTTTCCAGTCCTCTCCTGAAATTATTTTATCCTTGGTAGTTGTGTGTACAGATTTAGATGGAACTTCTTCTGGGCCTCTTCGAACAACCTTTTCTTAGAGTAATCTCTGCTTTCTAGTAGCTGTTTTTTCCTGCATGGATTCTTAGGATTATTAGATTTCTGTAAGATTATGGACATTTTCCAGAGCTGTATCAGAGATCAGAAGGAAACTTCTTCCCCCTCCCTGCCCCCCCAGCTTTTGAATTTAGCAGATTTTAGTGCTGTGACAGCAGTATTCTAATAAATGTAAATGCCACTCTCAACCAACTCATCACATTTTGTAAGTCCCAGAAAGTACTTGAAGTCAAGACTACAGTTGCAAACCTTTTGCTGTGGTTTTATGTTAAGCTGGTGAAATGGACTGTTTGGGCACAGTTTATAACAACAAAAGTAGTTTGTGTAGTATAGTTTATTCTAGCCTCTGTTTCTTCCTCTTCCTTCCTTCTCCCACAAGCATAATCAGCTATGAGGGCAAAAGCTAGTTTTGTATTACATTATAACTCTCTTTAAAAACAACAACAACAACAAACCCCCCAAACAAATAAACAAAAAAGCCCACCAAAAAAAACTCAGCAAAAAAATTCTCTATGAATTATGTTCCCGACTGCAACCATTCCAGGAGAAGGTGGTGGTTAATGATGGTTGTGTCTTTTTCCAGATAGATGTAGAAATGTCACTAATCACAGATCTGTTACAGAGTAAGGTCTAAATAGTAGGTAAATAGATCAAAAATCTTGTCAGATTACTGCAAATGTTATTTATTCACTAGTACACCTTTACATTCTAGTGTTTCTTGAACTTTTTCCCCAGAGAGGGACATGTTACAGGAGATACTTCACTATAGCAAACAGAGCCCTAATAACATAAATAGAACGTGAATAAAAGTTAATTTAGTTTTGACATAAGATCCAGCTCTAACGCCAAGAGGAGTAGTTAGGCAAGTTTAATGTAGTAACTTACATTTGAACTCAGATTGTCTTTATAAACCTTGTATTGTGAATAATTGTGAGCTTGATGCAAGAGTCATGGATAAAATCTTTTGTGCTATCTTTATAGATGTGAAAGTAGTTATCTTAGTTGTTCTTTATGAACCTGAATTTTGAAGTAGTAACTATAACTGTTGTTTACTTGGGAAAGCAGTATTGTGGAAGCTTTTGTAGCTGTTATCTAGTTAGCCAGAAAGATTAAAAATTTTAACTAATCTAGTGTGATTATCTATAATAATTATTTTACAGCCTGTACATACAGCCTTTTACATTATTCTTCAAATAAATGCTGTTTTGAGAATCTCTTTATGTCTCTCTGTAGCTCAGATACACTTGAGGGGTTGTACTTCTGTCTCCGAGCTATACCCACAGATGTGACACTGGAAAACTACTCATACCTCCTTTGGCCTTTTTTGTGTGTTGCATGAAGAGAAGTATCGTTGGTACGCTGCTTTTTTGTTTTGTCACTGGGCAAGGTGATCATTGCTAGCACTGAACCAGCCTTGGTTCACCTTTAGCGTTTGGTGAGAAATGCCTGTGCGTTTAATCACTTGCAATCCATTTGTGTTTCTTTAGTATCACTGGGGGTACATGTGAGATATCGCCCATCTGCACCTTGGCAGTTTTCTTCCACTTCCTGCTCTCTGCCCTTATCAGAACAGGCATTTGCTTATCGGTGATCAGAAGCCTAACCATGTTACAGCTGTCCTGGTACCTGCTGTGGGTCCCTTTTCACTCTTTGAATGGAGAGGCCTCAAGGTGAATGCTCTGTAACTGCATTTCTTACCTGCTTTTGAGGTCCTTTTGATGCCTGTCTTTATTACCTGGTATGGGCAAGTGGCTTTCGTTCTCACTTCCTTTCTTGATAGTGAGAATTAAGAAAGGAAAATTGGAGCCAAAGAATTTGTGATTTTGAAATTTTTGCCTTTTCCCTAAGGAGTCTTGGAGAACTGCCTTTGTTGGATCTGCTGGTAAAGAATTTCAGGTGTTCAGTTATTCCAAATGTCAACACCCTTGAAATGAGGTGTTAGAGTTTGATTGATTGTGCTGGAGTGAGGGGAATCTTCCTTGACAGCAGAAACAGCTTCGAGAGGTGAGTGGTGGTGAAGTACTGTAGGTTGGGTCACTTTAAACAGTGAGGCTCTCAATGCTATCCATAGTTTGGGCTAAAATCTGGTGTCTTGATGTGGTTTGCATTGCCTTCATCAAGGTATTTGCATGCCACTGCACCTACTGTATCCCATTGGGTGGAGCTTTTACCCCCAGTGGGTTTGAAATCCCAAAAAGGGGAGTTAATTCTGCAGGGCCCTCTGAAGTTTGTAACACAGGGCAGCAGTGGCCAGCCCTTTGGTGCTTCAGCAGTTTGCTTGCTGGTGATCTCTTTGTGAAGCTTCTGTCACTTTTCCTTCAGCTGTACAATATCCAAATTATGATGGCCTATCTTCTCTATTCCCTTCTCTCTCCCTCCGTGCCCTGAATTTGTCCCTGAAGTGGTCTGTGAGCTCCCTGTGAACCAAAGAATACTTATATTCAGGAGTACTTGCATTTAGGTTTTCTCCAAAGAGCACATTCAATGAGTACAAGAGTACATGCCCTCCAGATAGGCAGCGTAGGGTAAGACATCCCATTTTATGTCAGCAAATTCCTTGGCCCAAACTAACGTGTTCCCATGAAAAAGCTGGTACAGTGAGTAATGGGTTGTATGACAGCCCACTTTATTACCACAGTGATCTACAGTTCACTGGGCTCAATCCTTTAATGCAAAGCTTCTGTCTGCACTTGAATCGCAGACCATGAAATCTATGCTGAGAACAGTTATTGTTAATATTTAGCTAATTGCAACGTTTAGAAGATGTAAGAATTGCTGCAGTGGTGTTGTGAGATCATTTTGCAGGTGGGTGGAGTAATTGATGTAATTCTTAATTTGCAGTGATAAAATGTTAGACTGGCATTGACTCTGCCCAGCCAAAGTGCTGAGGTTTACTGAGATATCTGGTTCAGTGCAGATCTTAGTGTTTGATAATGTAAAGCCTGCATAGACCTTCTTTCCCATTTTTTGAAAAGTGTTTTGGCTCTTCATACACACAGGGTTTATTTTGTGGGCATTTTAAACTGTCCCTTTACATTTACCTTCTGTAAACATACAGTAAGGTTCCACTGCTGTTTGAAAATAACAATTTTGCTTCCCTAGGCACATGAATATTACTCTAAAACCTGACTAAAGAATTTTAATTTTTTCTGTAATACAGTTTATTTGAGAAATTAACATATCTTTTGAATAATATTAAGGCATCGAGGCTACAGTTGAATGTGATAATTAGGAAATGATCCTGGGGCTAGGGAAAGGAGCTTGGAGACTTATGTTGCTTTATGTTGACCAACAAGACTTTTTTGAAAGGTCTGTCTTTCCTGACTCTCTGTCTTTGTAATTTAGGCAGGTGGCTTTGAGACAGTTACAGGGTGGCTGGGGAATCTGGAATCAAAAAGCTGTGTGTGAACAAATTGAGGGAAGGAATCATAGGCAGTATTGTGTGAAGACAGATATATCTTTCAGAGTTAATTTCGGTGATGGATATGTTATCTCAGTTGAGGTACAAATAACTCTCTCTGTAAAGCTGGATGCTCATTGTTGTGTCTTCATTAGAAGGAGACGCAGTTCTGCAGAGATGCTGTACCCAAATCCAGTCTTGGTTTTGTGCAGCCTCAGTGACTTACAGAGTCATTCTGGTATCTCCAACTAGGAAGTGAAAAATTTCCTTGTATAGTTAGTTCTGTTAAAGATCCGTGAACAAAGCTGAAATTAGAGCATTTAATCTGGCATTAATCAGCCTTCATGAAGGCAAAGGAAGTTATGATTTTAAAATGGGCCACCTAGCCTTAAAATAACAAGCACAACTTTGTCCTAGGGAAGGCAAGGAATTAGTGAGGCCCAGGTTTAAGACCCCCGACACTGAGTCTCAGATATATTGATAATTTTTGCTAAAAGTATTTTTTAAAAGCTTTTATTTGTAACCGTTTCCTTTCTGTGCTTCATTCCCCATTCAGGGATCTTAAGATAGCTGACTTTGAAGGCACTAGCAGAAAATGCAGCAGAACTTTTCTTTTCATGCAACCTTTTTTCCCCTCTTCTGCCCGTTTAGTTAAATAACATGTGTATATTTGATATGATTTCTTGGTGGACTGAGTACCAACATCAATGTTATTTGAAAATTACATGTGTATTTGAGAGAAGACCACTGGAATTTTAATATTTCTGCCCTGAGACAAAACTGATATAATGCATTTGTAGCTGTGAATTTCTTCTTTCTGGGCTTTGCCTGTCTTGTCTGGTAGTCTAGAACACAAGCACAAAACAATGACAGCTGTACAGTAAGTTCTTGTTTTATTTTGCAGGTTTGTTTTAATGTGGAAGTGGATCTCACAGCTTAATGCAAATCAAACAAACAAAGGTGAGTAGAAGTTCTGTGAGTTTTCTTTTTTCCCCAAATTCCTTGGATCCATTAGCATATACTGCTAAATGCTCAGAAAAAGTGGTCGGTGGAAATTGTATTGGAACTTGTATCTTGATTACTGTAATTTATGGACATGGTGTTACTCCTACGATACCAAGATGGGAACAAAACACAAGCACACCCCTAATAATAAGTATTATTATAGTTATGTCGTCTTCCATAAACTATTATAGTCAAAAAGCTTTCAAGGCTTTCTGCTGGCTGTTAAGAGTCAAAATTATGAGGATTTCAAATTAATTTCATCCTCTGCATATTATCCACCTGGTTTCAAAGTACTGACAGCATACTTTGTGTTGTCAAAGCAGTGTGTTAAACTTGCACTTATTTTGTTAATAAATAACTGTGTGGGAAATTTGACCAGGTACCAGAATAGCATTTCAAATGTTCAGTAGTGAAATTATTTTTTCTTTTTTTGTGTGTGTGCTGGGGGGGGGGGGGGGTTGTCTGTTTATCTGGTCATGTACAGAGTTATATAGCTTTGGGTCTTTTAGAAACTCTTTATTTCATATATTCACAAGTAGGGATGATAACTTTCTCCAAGTTGACAGTATTTTTTGTTCTTAATCTAAAAAGGTACAAGATGCTTTATTGGCCTTACGTGACACTGTCACAATCTTACTAGCTTTTTGACCCTTGATCGCTGAAAGGATACAGAGGATTATAAGAGACAGTTTGTTGGTAAGGATGAGTGAATATCACTAATATAATTCGTTACACTAAGGTTCTAAATTAAATGAGTAAAAGCAGAGTGTTCATTTTAGGTAGTTTTATAATTGGGAAGGATAACGTGCTTTAGGATTTAAGAAGTCTCTCTACATTAGCAGGAGAGACAATGTTAAAATGTGTGATACTATTAAAATATGTAGCAAATAGCCAAAAAAGCAAAAAGCATGAGAAATTGCTAATGTGTTTCACGTCATGCTGGATAAAAAAAAATTACAACTTGAATATAATAGGAAATAGGGTCAGAATTTTTCCAAAGTTCAAAGTGTATCATGTTCAAAGATCTGTCTCAATAAAATTGGGTTAAACTGTTTTTAATGTCATCTTTAAGAAAGTTGTACTGTAAATGCCTTATGCAGAATCATGTTGTCATGCAAGTTTTTGTCTGTGATCTGTAGGACCAACACTTCAGGACTAGTTCATGCAGGTAATTAACAGTATAATTTAATGAACTTGAGGAATATTCCTGTAAAAGCAGTCAAATATGACTTCTAAAAATCCTTCCCAGTCTGGTTGTGATCTTTACATACTAACAAAAATATATTTAATATCTTACCCAAATAACAAGCCAGATGTTTGTACCTTAAGAAGAGCTTTTTTACTTCGGCTACTGAATTCACCTTTCTGTGAAATCTGGGACAACAGTGAAAATAAGACTTCTGTGGCCATGTAGTTGTAATCATTGGAGATTTGTATAGAGTTATGAAAAACAGCTAATTATTACAGTCAGTTCGTTGATAGATGTTGGATTTGTATTGGAACAAAGGGTTCTTTATCCAACTTATCACAAAAGGTGTCTGAACAAAAAGATGAAATTGTAGGAAAAACCTTTGTTTTAAATTGAAAGACAGTTTTAGATTTGGATATTAAAATTCTGTAGGTTTTGCTTTGATTGATTAATTTTAAATGTCTTTGTGTTGCTACACCATTGATCATATTTGGTGGCTGGGGGAATGTTTTCAGTTGTGTCTCCTCAGTGGGGAACAATTAGATTTGCATACAGAATTTCACCACCACTTGGTGGCAGTACCTGGCTTCAAAAGGACTTGTTTCTGAGCAGATAAAGTGGCATTGATTCTGTAAACCTATAGGTTAAGGGGGAGGAGATTTGTTTTAAAATTTCTAAAAGTGATGTGTTTCAGAAATGAAAATACTGTTTATTTAACCTACTGGGAGGATTTGTATTTGTATGTCTCTATGGAAGAACTAGCTACCATGTCTAATACGTAATTTAAGGGTATATTTTTGTTTTAATAGTATTCTTGGAAGTTGTATTTAATGTTACCCAGTTGAATTATTTTAGCATTTACTTCTAGCATTTTAATTCGATTGAGTAGTGTACTTCAAGTAATTTTAGAACGTAAAATTGGCTTCATGATGGTGTTCTTCATAATGTTGTCTTTTGCAGTTAAGGCAGCTTTGGCAGTCCTGCCTTCCAAAATGTTGTCTGCATTTTCACTGTTTTATTTTTTTATATTAATTTTAGGAAAATATTTCCCAGTAGATTTTTCTGTTAACAAAGTTAGTAAAGGTTTGTGCCCTTGCTTGTAGTTGTTGCCTCTTGGTTATGCCAATTCAGCATTGCGTGGGTCCCAGCCTTTTAAACTGGATAATGAAACTGTTGATAAAGTGTGAAAGAAGGAACATGGGGGAGTGGAGGAAGGCAGGAGTTATTTAAATTGGCTTTGCTGCAAAGAAAAGCATAATTCCAATGTATAGCATGATAATTTGACAGCATATGGCTCCATGTTGAGACTACTTCTGCTTCTCCGTAAGCCAAAATCTTCTGCAATGACAGCAGATCTTTCATTTTAGTATTATCCCCCATGTTAGGGCTGTAGTGGTGAGACTAGAGCCTGGAAGAATGCAAGTACTTTCCTAAATATGTGCTCTTTGTGAAATGTCTCACTCACTGTGACTGGAGTTATAACAGCATTGCTGGTATGAGTGGGTTCTAAGAGGAGGAAATATTTGTATTGTGTTGCCTGAAAAGCCTACACTGAAAATCTGGCATCCTTAGGCCTCTCTGAGGTGTGACATATTGAGAAGGCATCTAAGTAAATTCTGGCATAGAAGAGGGATTAATCTTATGGAAAGTCCTGAATTGTAGAAATACTAGTAGAAAATGAGGTGGGACTTGGGAAATGCATGTTTATGAATTTGAGTGTGATAATATTACTTAGTGAGTGGTAATATTATTCTGTTCAGCGAGAGAGCTCTGGAAAACAGGAACACTGGAAGAGAGAAGAGAGAGGGGCATCAAATTGTAGTTTTGCTCTGAATATGTTCTACATAACTTGTGATAGAGAGAATGCATTTTGCTGTATACCTGGTTATTTTTGTGTAATTTTCTTAAGGTGTCAGAAATCTGAAGTTAGTGGTTGGAAACTTTTTTGACTAAAATACTCCTGTGCCTATATTGCTGATATTTTGAAATTAAAGAAAAAAGTGGGTAGTCTGAGCATATGGAGCACTCTATAGAGGAGTAAAGTAAGCGAGAATTAGGATGCTGTGTGGCAAAGTGTACTAGAACGGAATCACAGAGTAGTTGAGGTTGGAAGGGACCTGTGGAGATCTTGTCCAGTCCTGTGCCTTAAGCAGGGTCACCTAGAGCAGCTTGCCCAGAAGCATGTCTGGACAGCTTTTGAATATCTCCAAGGATGGAGGCTCTACAACCTCTCTGAGCAACCTGTGCCAATCACTTTCACAATAAAAATGTTTTCCTTATTTGAAAATAAGGAAAAACTGAAGTTGGAAACTCACATATTTTAGTTTGTACCTATTGTTTCCTGTCCTGTCACTGAACAGCACTGCAAGAGTCTGACTGTCTTTTTGTACCCTTCCTTCAGTGTTGATGAGATCCTTCCAAGCCTTCTCTTCCCTCTTTTGGCTGAGCAGTCCTGACTCTATCAACCTTTCCTCATATGAGGTGCTTCAGTCTCTTAATTGTCTTACTGGCCCTTTGCTAGACTCTCTACTGTAGCTCCATATTTCTCTTGGACTGGGCAGCCCGGAACTGGACACACAACTCCAGATGCAGCCTTTACCATAGCTGAGTAGAGGGGAAGCATCACCTCCTGCAGTGTGCCAACAATACTACTAGTGCAGATCAGGATTCTGTTGTCTTTCTTTGCCACAGTGGCATGTTGCCTGCTCATGTTCAGCTTGCTGTCCAACAGGACCCCCAGGTACTTCTCTGCAAAGCTGCTTTCCAGCATGTACTGGAGTTATTCATGGTGCAGGAGTTCATACTTTCCTTTGCTGAACTTCATGAGGTTTCTGTCAGGCCACTTCTCCAGCCTGTTGAGGTCCATCTGAACAGCAGCAGCACAACCTGATGGTGTATCAGCCACTCTGCTCAGTCTTGTATCAGCAGCAAACTTGCTGAGGTTACCTTCTGCCCTGTCATCCAGGTCATTAACGAAGGCGTTGAGCAGTGTTGGACCCAGTATTGACCCAATGATACAGCGCTAGTTACTGGCCACCAACTATAATATATTGTACCACTGGTCACAACCCTTGATTTTTTGGCAGCCTGATAAAAATCTTGTCTCACAACAGGGATGGGAGCAGGACTTTCATTTACAGACTGAAATGAGGAAAAACTCTCTTGTTTTGTAATGCTGGTGGTTCATAAAATAAGCTCTTCATTATATTGTGTCTAGATAAAAACAATTTTTGGTACCATAACTGAGGCTTAAGAATACATTAGACTGAAAAACAGAGACAATGGTGATGAAAGAGATGAAAAGTGCTTTCTCAAACTCTTTTTTCTTGAGAGAGAAAAAAAGGTGTGTGAGCATATGAGAGTTACATGCATAGATAAATTCTTTCCATTTATGTCAAAGTACATAAGGAAACAGTTTTGGAGGAACTGTATTATCACAGAGCATTAAGCCTGTGTTTTTCAAACTTCTGTGTCTCTCACTGGAATGCTGCTAGTCATTACCATGTATGTCTGCGTTTAGGAAAATACAATATTTGATTGTAGTTCTCATCTTTAGTAGAAACTCATGGCAGTGCAATTCAAACCAGATCATACTACTAGAACTCCAAACTAGACAGTCGCAGGAACATGAACACTTAAGTACTTGGCTATCCTCTATGAACAGGTTTGTGGAGAGCTGAGGGGGCGTTAAGGAAGCCTGCAGAGTTGCCAATGTGTGATTGTTCTTAAGTTACCAGATTCAAAGTCTTGGGTTTTTTGTACAGGC